CTGGGCCAAAGCTTCTGCTGCTGTCACAGCAGTCAGGAACCCCCATGAGAAGCAGGACCCTTTAGGATTAAGGAAATAAGGACCCTGCCAGCTCTCAGTCCTCTGGAGTAAAGAGCCACACCAGAAAACTAGGAGTTAAAAGTGCACCAGTCCTCAAGGCTATGGGTGCGAGATAAACAGCAGGAGACAGGAGGCTGGGAGGGTCAGCTCAGCTCCTGAGACTGTGTGGCCAGCTCAGGCCAGACAGAGCGAGGTCTGCACTATGTGAAACGAAGACGTCAGAGACTTTCCCAGGTGACAGAGTCAATTCCTAGTGGTGAAGGGGAATGACTGGGCAGAATGGTCACTGAAATCATCCACAGTTACACGTCCCTTATTATCACAGCAAAACACACACCTTCAGGTTGAGGTTTAAGATGGTAATGAGACATGTGACACGTGAAGAAACATGATGGAGAACACAGGTACAACTGAGGCCCCACCTCTCCATGGGTGACATCAAGAGGCCAGGTTCCTGCCTACACATAGATGCCATCAAAGCTATTCCTCCAGGTACTTTTCTGGACTCAGCCTGGGATTTCTGTTCCCCGTTTGCTGCCTCTTCTCGCTCTAACAGAAGCCCTTAGTAAAAACCTTGTCTGTGCTTAAATTCTTTCCAGGTCCATTGACAGTTTCTACAATCTGGATCTTGGAACCTGAGTTCTGTAGCATAATAAGACTCATTGAAACATTAGCTGAGTGTCCCTCCACCTCTCTGGATAGCTGACCTCTCAGCCCACATCTAGAAAGGGCTTCGTTTTACAAAAAGAATCCGTAAGACCTGTGGACTCGTGAAGAATAAGAAGGAAAAAGAAAAGAGTTGGAAAGGGGGAAGGAGCCGCTTCTTCATGACCCCAGTCCTTCTCATCCTGGATTACTTCAGACAGAGTAACCTCTCTTCCAGCCTCCTCATTCAGAGCCCTTCTCCCAGAGCGCTTTATAATCCCCTCCGATCTGTCACGCCCTCACTCCCACTGAATCTGCTCTTCCACGTCACAGACATCGGCAGAGCCTCGCTTCTTTCCTCCCTCCGGATGCTCTCCCCCTCAGCTGGGGAAGGAGGGTTGGCTGCCTCAACTCTTGTCAGCCCCGCAGTTTCCCCACTCCCCTGGACCACGTCGCTGGCCCAAACAAGGTGACCGTCAACTCAAGGAAGATAAAAGTGAAACAAGAAAGGGAATGTAACAGTACTGTGTGGCATGACCGAGAACAAAATTCACATAATGACGCAAATACCTGAAAGTCGATTTAACCAAAAACTCTGAAACTGAAGGGGGAGGCTGTTACTCCCCTACTTCAGCCAAAGGAGATTCGGATTCCCCTGGAGTGTACACCCTGCAGGGAAAACCTGCCAGCCTGGTGCCAGCCAGCTCCTGGGTGGCTTCCTTCCCCAGGTCCACTTGCTGGCTCCTTGTGGGAAGACAGCCCTCTCTCCTGAGGCCACCATCAGCTCCAGCATCTAAGGAGCCCCGCTTCTTCCCCTGGCCTCCAAGTCCTCTTCAGCCCATCCACTTTTTTTTTTTTTTAAACTAGAGATCGAACTCAGGGGCACTTTACCACGGAGTGACTTTCTTTCTTTCTTTCTTTCTTTTTTTTTTTTTTTTTTTTTGTGGGGCTGGGGATTGAACCCAGGGCCTTGTGCGTGCAGGGCAAGCACTCTACCACCTGAGCTATACCCCAGCCCCCACTCCATCCCCCCTTTCTAAGATGCTTCTTTTCTCTCCTGTGTCCCCCTCAAGCCCAAATCAAGGACCAAACAAAGAGGCAAGCCAAGGGACAAGGGATACCCAGTACCAGGGGAGGCTGGGGCAAGGCCAAGACCCAGGGACCATCTCCAGCCAACTGCTGCAGAAGACACACGGCTGCCAGATCTTCCCACTTGTCTGGAGAGAGCCTTGACCTTCTGCTTGGTATGAAACTGCCTGTTTTCAAATGTAAGCAACTGAGACCCAGAGCCTGAATCAGCCAAAAAAAAAGAAAGAAAACTGGTTCCTCCAGTCCTTGAGGAACTCAAACCTTTGTAGCAGATAAAGGAAAATGTTCATATTCAGCCAAATACAGAGGAGAGGGCCACACTAAAATCCAGCACTTGCTCCATCATCCACCAGCCATTTACTGTGCATTTACCAAAAGAAGGTACAAAAGAAGATACCATTGCAAATATGTATCTATTGAGGCTCAGAAGCATCTCTCAAGGACTTGAGAGCCACTCTCAGGAATGTAGCCATTAGTCTCTAAGACTCTGAGAACACAGACTCCTAACCTTGATAATGAGCAGCCAAGTAGCGCAGCTGGCCTAGCCTCGTTTACAGGACAACACTTCCTACTCTTCTCCCTGAGCTCAGCCCCCCTCGGTTGGCTGGAGGTCACAGACTGAGCCATGCTGTGAGTCTCCCACTAGCTTCACCGCAGACACTACCTCTGAAGGGTGAGATCTGATGATGATAATGGTTGCCCAGGCTCCTCTTCAGGGACTTGAAGGCCATTTTTGTCAAAAGCACCGACTCTTCACTTGGGCCTGTCTGAGGAGTGATCTTTTGACCTCAGGAGGCAGACAACCCCATCTCTGACCACGCTGACACCACCATTCTCTGAAGGTGCATTTCATGAAGAACGAGGAACAGGCCACCGATGACTCCAATCACTTCCCCATGCCTTAAGTCACCCTGCTTCTTTATCACATCAGTTCCCCCAAACGCCAGCCTCTGGGAGTTGGATTGAGACTTGGATCTCCCCCTCCCAGCTCAGCTCCCTTGCCAATAAAACTCTTTCTCTTTGCAAAACTGAGTTGTCTCGGTGATTGGCAAACTAGGTGTAGCAGGCATCATGGGCCTGGTTCGCTAACAAGACAAATCCTTTAACTTTCCACATTGAGTCGGTTTGATCTTTGAGAGGCTGCCAAAATATCGTAATAATTCTATCATCATCATATCAGCAGCATCAGCAGCATTCTGTTAACTGGAAATCCTTAGCTCGTACTTTCTCATGAGAGATTTCAAGCAAGACATGAACTGTAACAAAAGGACAGCGAACTTTATTGAATAAGAGAGGAATATGGTCTCATAAAAGAGGTCAACAGTTCATTTCATTCTTTTCTTTTTCGGTACCGGGGATTGAACCCAAGGGTGCCTAACCACTGAGTCACATTTCTAGCCCTTTTGTTCATGTTTCATCTTAGGACACGTTGTCCGTAAGTCCTTAGGGCCTGGCTAAACTGCTGACTCACTGGGATCACAGGTGTGCGCCACTGTGCGTGGCTCAACAATACCTTTCTTTGTTTCCTAGTTTTCTGGGAGCTAAGGGAAACTTCTTTTGGAGGACTTTGTCCAAGCACCACCTCCTAGCTCTAGGTGCACAGTTGGAGTGCGTCAGACTTCTAAATCCCACTCCTCACATTTTCACCTAAAAGTACACAAGAGAAACCCACGGTGGCTGGGGTAAATGTGCAATTATAATCAGATCAAAACGACATGCTGAGGGCCTAAAAGGCAACTTTTGATCTTGGCCCATGCCAACTGTTTTTAAACTGGAAACTGTTTTTATAGATTTTATGGCTATTGGACTCTGGTCAGTCTCTGATCAGAGCATCGGTCTTCCTTTATTTTTTTTTGGTTCCAGGGATGAACCCAGGGGCACTCAACCACTGAGTCATATCCCCAGCCCTTTGAGACAGGGCTTTGCTAAATGGCTCAGGCCAGTCCTCCTGCCCATTCCTATTCCCTGTGATCCTCCTGCCTCAGCCTCCCAAGCCGCTGGCATTACAGGAGTGGGCCACTGGCCAGGATGTCTTCTTCTTCTTATCTGGAGACGTTATTCCTCAGCCCTGAGAATACCGTGCTGTTTGGCACATGCTTTCCCTGCCTTGCCCTTGTGTCTCACATCTACCCAACAGTTCCACCTCTGCACAGTTCTGATCTTTAGAACCCACTTGACTTCAGTAAATTAAAAACTGGGGCTTTTAATTGAAAATTGACCTAAAACTGTTTCTTCTATTGCCACAGGAAAATGCTCACGACTTTGCAGACATAGGCTGAGCTCTTCTCTCCACTCACACAAAGCTTCCAGATTTTTCTCTAAAAAGCCTGGGGTTGTGGCTGGGGTTGTGGCTCAGAGGTAGAGCGTTCGCCTGGCACACGTGAGGCACTGGGTTTGATCCTCAGCCCCACATAATAAAATGAAGATATTGGGTCCACCTGAAAAACTAAAAATTAAAAAATAAGCCACCGCTCCCTGCCCGCCCCCTCACTCCCAACACTGTGTTCTCCCCCTCCCTGGGGTTCCCAAAGTACAGGCGTTCTCTTGATAAACTGCTTCCTTCCAAATTATTTTCTGTCCCCTCAAGTCCCTCCCTCATATAGACATACTCCCAACTCCTGACCTCTGCCAGGGACCAGCAAGTGGACACTTCCCGGTCACGCCTTGTCTGGACTATAAGAAGGGAATGTCTGCGGGCTATGATTTGGTTCTGAGTCCCCCCATCATTCCAGGTCATTCAGTCTTTTGTGGGACACATGCTACAAACACTCCGTAAAGGGACAGGCCTCCCTCATCTGCCTGGAGATTTTCTTAGATTTTTTCCCTCTACAAACGCAGGGCAGCTCTCCAAGGCTCCCTGTACTCCAGACTGCTGGCTTAGGTACATCTTACTCCTTTAACAGTTTTTCCTTTTGATCTCGGGCCAGTCCTCCTGCCCATTCATGCTCGTCCCCTCCCCAAGCGTTGGGCGGGACTCCGAGACCAGCTGGAGGCCCCGAGCCTCTGCATGTTGCTGCAACAGCCCGGCCCAGCCTGGCCCACTCATTTTTTTTCCTGCAGTAGATGCTCCTGCTGAAAGAAGCCTGCGACAGAAAGGAGAAGCCGTGGGAGGTGGCCCAAGTGTGCAGCCCAGACGCAACAGGGCAGGGCCCACTTCCCTTGCTGCCCACTCAAAGTCGGCCGCCCGCCTGGTGGGGCTCTCAGCCATGATGAGGAGAAGCCTCCAGGTGGCAGCTAGACTGGGACACCGCAGAGCCCTTCTCAGGACCCCCTGTATCCTGCCCGGACTCGACCCTGCCGCAGCATTTGGATCCTCCACTGACTCCCTGGTGAGTCCCAGCTCAGTTACACGGGTGTCCTTTCTCCCCAGAGCCCTGGGCTGAAGGAACACACCCAATCTCCTTTTTCTGGCTTGCAGTCAGGGTGATGGGCAGTGTTGGGGGGAGCTTTTTGTTCTGGCAACAGGAAGATGTTTGGGGATGCCATGTAGCCCATACCCCAAACTGAACCCTCCAGGACACTTGCACCTGGTCTGAACCTTGTGTGGTCACCAGCTGATGGTTGTTCTTCCGTGGGGCTCAGACGGTTGCAGCTAAGTTGGGGTATCCCCAGACAGGGGGCCCTGACGGAGGTCTTGGCGATAAACTGCCCATATTTGTAATTGGCACATGAGCCAGCGACATTATAGAGGACACCCCCTGTCCCACAGATCGACATACTGTCCCTGCCCCAGCCACGGTACCACACGTCTTTGGGTTCCAGTACATGTTTCAAAGGAGCCGTTCTGCCTAGGCACACCCAGGACTGTGGGCAGAGCTGGAGCAGCCCCGGAGGGAAAGGGGTATAAAAGTGTCCCCTCGCCAACAGCGGTCTCACTCCCCAGGGAAGACGGTGTATGTCAGCTCTTGCTCTCATAAGCAATCCGAATCATATTTTCTCGGCTTCCCCATTAATACAGTTGGGCAAATACTAGCAGTTCTCAGCTGCAAAGAACTACTCGTAGCTTCTAGAAAAAGTGTAATGTATTGACATTGAGCCCAGGGCTGTAATTTTTATTTTTATTTTATCTATTCGTTTGTTTTCTATTTACTTATTTATGTATTTTGGTGCCAGGAATTGAACCCAGGGATGCTTTACAACTGAGCCACATCCTCAGCCCTTTTTATTTTGAGACAGAGACTCATTAAGTTGCTTTGAGCTTCACTAAGTTGCCGAGGCTGGCCTTGAACCTGAGATCCTTCTGGGATTGGGGATGGGGGTGTAGCTCAGTGGCAGAGCACTTGCCTGGCATGTGCAAGGTCCTGGGTTCAAAAACAGAAACAAACAAAAATGACCAGGTTGCTGGGATTGTGGGTGTCTGCCGCTGCGCCCACTCCTTTCCCTCCTTGTTTTCCTCTGTAGTGTCCCTTGCCCAGTGACTCATCCAAGGGCCCAACCCTCTGCCAGGAAGGTGGGCCCTTGTCCACACTCCAGCTTGAAAAGCCCCCAGACCAGGATGAGACTTCCTGGAGGCCACCCTCCAGGACATCATCTCCTTCTCTGATTGGTCCTTCCCAGGTCTCAAGGTTTTGTCCAGAGAAGACAGACTTGAAGGACTATGCCCTCCCCAATGCCAGCTGGAGCCCAGACATGCTGAGCCTGTACCAGGAATTTCTGGAGAAGACCAAGTCCGACGGCTGGGTCAAACTGCCCTCCTTCCAGTCCAACAGAGACCACATTCAGGGGCTCAAGCTCCCGTCCGGGTTGGTAGCTGCCTCAGGTAAGGCCAGGCCTGGGAGGGTCTGTGAGCGCACCCCCACCCCAACCCACGTCGACGGGCCCTGCCTGGGACCCTCGGTGAGGGCCATCCAGCTCCCTTGCCCTGTGTACCAAGGCTCCCTTCCACCTGCTGTCTAACCACCCCCTCTGCTGCAGCCTAGCAGGCAGATGAGAAGGGACTCTTTCAGGTCTCCGGCTCCCTCCCTCCCTCCACGGGAGAACTGCCAGCTCAGCGCTCGTCCTTCCCACGTCTCCCTGGTGTTCTTCCCTCAGTCAAGCCTTATCCCAAGCCCTCCTCCCCAAACCCAGAAAGTCCAGTGGACCCCCCCCTCCGCATCTGCAGGCCTCAGTGCACCATCCCCACCAGCGAGCCAGCTCTGATCCATGGAGTGCCACCTTCACCCTTCCTTACGAGTGTCTGTCTGTCTGTCTGTTTTTCTTATGCGTCTCATTTGTATGCACGGTCCCTGCCCAGTGAGCCACACAGCTGGCAGATGGCTCTCGGGCTTATGGCACAAAGCAGGGGCTGAGGGCGGGGCCGTAGCTCCCGCTCTTGCCTAGCATGCTGGGTTCAACCCCCACACCACAAAAACCAATAAAAAAGCAGGGGCACTAAAATAATTTCTTTTCAAGAACTTGATATTTCCAAGAAAGGATGTAGTTGTTGTCTTGGGAGGAGGATGTGAACTTTGGTGGACTTTTTTGTACTTATTTTACTGTTTAGTATAGCTATGCTTTTTTAAAAAATTTTCTTAGTATGGCTATTTTTAATGAATTATAGGTGAATTATATGAGTAATTACATCGTAAACTTCCAACACTTAGTCTTTTCAAGTCTTGACCTGAAAAGCCCCAGCTCCTGTCTTTCCACTCAGCCAGGAGACTCCTTGAGTGCTTTTCCTCCCGCACACAGGCTTTCTGAAGACAGGGATTACCTCTGCTCCAGACTGAAGACTCCCTGGGGGCAGAGCCTGGGTCTCCTCTGCTTCTCGGTCCTTCTTTATTAATTTTCAGCTCTGGGGATTGAATCCAGGGGCTCTTTTCCTCCGAGCTACATCTCCAGCCCTTTTCAATTTATGGTTTGAGACAGGGTCTCGCTGCGTTGCCCAGGTCAGCCTTGGACTTGCCCTTGTGCCTCAGCCCCTGGAGCAGACAGGATGGCAGATGTGCAGCACTGCCCCCAGCAAGGTTCTCTGTCCTTGACCCTGTACCAGAGGCATGGCTCAACCCAGGGTCCTACATCCTGACAGGCAGGCCCCACGCCCCCAGACCCTCACATGCCCTTCATTTTCCAGCTGTGACGTTGCCCATCTCTCCCCAGACAAAAGTGACTGGCGCATCTTCACCAGGTGCATCCAAGTCGAAGGACAAGGCTACGAGTATGTCATCTTCTTCCACCCATGCAAGAAGAAGTCGGTCTGTCTTTTCCAACCAGGCCCCTACCTGGAGGGGCCCCCCGGGTAAGGCCACAGGGAGGGCCAGGTTGGGAGCCGCCTCCTGGGCTCATCAGGTAGATCTAGTAGGCCCTGGGATCTACACCTCTCTGTAGGGAGCTGGGGTGGCATCCTCCAAGGCCAGGAAGGACATGCTTGGCTATCTGGTCCAGTCCCCACCCTCAAGGTAAGGGAGAGCTCCCTTATCAAGTTCTCAGAACTTTCCGGCAAGAAAAGACCTGAGAGGCCACTTGGAGAGGACATGATGCACTTGGAGGAGGGCAAGATCTGGAATCAGTAGCCTGACTTCTGGTCCTGATCTACCGCAGCAAGTAAGCAATCTGACCTCTGGGGTCTTAGTCTTACCCAAAACCCAAGACAATAACATCTACCTGCCAGTGCGACTAAGAGACAGGATGCCCGGGCCTCTGTGTGTGCTCATAAAGCACACTGTAGCTATCAGACCTCGATTACTGAACCCCATGTCTTGTACATGGGGAAACTGAGGCACACAGAGGTAAAGGAACTTGCCCGTTAGATCCAGGACTCTAATCCAAGAGTTGGGACTCCAGCTCTCTCCGCTGTACCTTGCTGCCTCCAAACTTGTAATAGGCCCAGGGAGAAATTCACCTGGACAAGGATCAGGCTGGCCCTGGGCCTCACGTTTGTGGTTGTCTGCCTTCTGCATCCCTAATCCTGCTCCAGGCAACCAACAAAGGCAGTTGGTGGTGCTGGAATTCCTGCAGAGAGACAGGAGTGGGTATAGGGTCTGCTTTAAGGTTCGGAGGCGTCAGGTGGGATCAGCGGTAGGGCAGGATTCACAGCGCTAAATAGGTATCAGCACCTCTTCAGGCCATGGATACAGACACAGCCCTTGGTCCCCGTGGCCAAACCAAAGGTATCGATACCTCCATGGGGACACTGTTCTCCAAACTAATGCATGCAGACTCTGGGGAATAGTTTAGAATCCTACCTGGGACATGGATCCCCTCCCTTCTGAAGAAGAAAATCCTCAGGAGGCAGGAGAGAGGTTGATACATGGCTGACTTTTATTTAGGGGCTGGTGGAGGTGACAAAGGGACAGAGGAGGCCAGTCAGTGGATTGAGGGGAGTGCAGGGAGGAGATTGGTGTCCACCAGGTCCCTGGCCAACAAAAGTGGGCGGCAGTTATCATTGGCCAAGAGCTGCTCCACAGAACCAGTACTAGCCAATGGGTCCTTTCTCCGGTCAGTGAGGACCAGAGGAGAAGAGCGGATCTGGAGTTCTCTGACACCAAGTCTTCTTGCCCCTGTTAAGCAACTCGTAAGGTGGAGAGGGGGTCCCTGGAAGTGTGCATGAGGTTTTGCAGACATTGACTCATTTAACCCAATGAAATAGAAATTATTTCCATTCAGAATTCATAGTGGGTACACTAAGGCGCAGAGAGATTCAGTGACTTGCTCAAAATCAAACAGGTAACAAAGCCAGGTGAGAGGTGCACGCCTGTAGTATCAGTGGGCACTGAGTAGGAGGATTATAAGTTCAAGGCCAGCCTCAGCAACTTAGCAAGGCCCTAGGAAACTTAACTGGACCCAGTCTAAAAATAAAAAATGAAATGAAATAAAGGGCTGGGAATGTGGCTCAGTGGAATTAAAAAAAAAAAAAAAAAAAAAAAAAAACGTGTTGGAGCAAGAAGCCCACCAGGTGGTATGATGCCATGGCCCTGGCAGAGGGAGGGGGATCAAGGGCCTTGGAAGCCAAGGTGGTAGGAGCAGGAGAGTGACCATGGTCACACAATGTGGACAGCTGGTCTGGGTCCATGGAGAACTGCAACTGAGCTTTCAAAAATCAGGAACTCAAATCTGTCTTGTGTTTTTGCATTCTAACGTTAGATGCCTCTCATTTTACCCAGTTTGACCAAAAATGCAGTAACTTAGGGATGGAGATCAGCTTGCATAAAGGAGAATGAGAACTTTACACACTTGAAATCAGTGAATGTTCACGACACCCTCTGAAGCGGCTCTCCCTTTTCCATGGGCAGCACTGCTCAGAAGTTCATCTTGCTGGCACTTTATAAGTCATAAGTCACATTGAAAACGTGGGCCCAAGCCAGGCACAGCGGCACATGCCTGTAATCTCAGCAACTTGAGAGGCTGAGGCAGGGGATCACAAGTTCCAGGCCAGCCTCAGGAAGTTGGGGCGACCTTGTCTCAAAATAAAAAATAAAATGGACTTGGGATGTAGGACCCCTCGGTTTGTATGAAGACAGAGAGAGACACAGAGACACGGGAGGAGGAGTAGAAAAGGAAGAGGAGGAGGAGGAGGAGGAGGAGGAGGAGGAGGAGGAAGGGAAGGAAGGAAGAGAGAGCGCTCGCCCAGCCTGACTGTGATGACGGTAAGGCTAGACATGGCCCGAGACCATGCTTCAAAGACTAAGTCAAAAAGCAAAAAGTTTAGGGGTTTTCCCGTTCCTCGTTCCTCGTATGTGTGTACCCTTCCAAGTTATGGCAATTGCTGCCAGCAGTTAGGTAATGAATCAGAAAAAAATGTTTTCCATTAACTATATGAGAAAAAAAACAGTTTTTTCCTGGTAAATTAAAATAATTGTGTGAGTGGTTACCAGCATATGCTGAAGCAAAGCAAGAGAAAAACAGGTGATTTTTGCTGATTCGATCACATGGGGTGCAGCTCTGTGTCTTCTCCTGGGTGGCTGCCTGAGGCTAAAGATCCATGCTTGGGGGCCCTGGGACAGGCAGACACATCAGGGGTGTTCATGTAGGGTGGAGGGGAGGCCCGTGGGGCAGTCTGCCCAGCAGCTCAGCCCTAGCCTTGCTCCCACACCCTCCTCAGGTTTGCTCACGGAGGGTCCCTGGCAGCCATGATGGATGAGACCTTTTCTAAAACTGCCTACCTGGCTGGAGAGGGGCTGTTCACACTAAATCTCAACATCAGGTTCAAAAAGTAAGTATGAGGGGCTGGGGCTGGGGCTCAGCAGTAGAGCGCTGCCTCACACATGAGAGGCCCTGGGTTCGATCCTCAGCACCACATAAAAATGAATAAACAAAGATTAAAAAAAACATAGTAATGATGTTTGGATGCTAATATTAAACAAAAAAAAAGAGTAAAAGTAAGTGTGAATCCCTGGGGCATGAGCTGAAGTCACGGCCATTTTGTCTCTGGGGTAGCTCTCCTTGGCTACTAGGGTGTGGGAGCCCTGCCAGCCACCGTCCTTCCCCAACCCACTCACCAGCATTCCTCTACCTCCTGGCCACACTGCACTCTTGAGCCCAGAGCTACTTATGAGTCCTTGAGGAAGGATGGGGTGAAGAGAAGGGGGTAAAAAGGGTGATGAGCCGGGGGCAGTGGCACTCGCCTGTCATCCCAGTGGCTCAGGAGGCTGAGACAGGAGGACCACAAGTTCAAAGCCAGCCTCAGCAATGGCAAGGTACTAAGCAATTCAGTGAGACCTGCCTCTAAATAAAATACAAAATCGGGCTGGGGATGGGGCTCAGTGGTCGAGTGCCCCTGAGTTCAATCTCCAGTACCAAAAAAAAAAAAAGAGGGGGTGATGAGATGGGTGTGAGCTACATTGCCTCTTCTCCCAGCTTGATCCCTGTGGGCTCTCTGGCGGTACTGAATGTCCAAGTGGAAAAGATTGAAGACCAGAAGCTGTATATGTCCTGCATCGCCCAGAGCAGAGACCAAGAGACGGTCTACGCCAAGTCTTCAGGTAAAGAAGACCTTAGCCTCAGCCTGTCTCCAGCCTGCCCCCCCACCCCCACCCACACACACCCCCCCCACACACACACACAACCACCCCACACACACACACACCCCCACACACACACAACCACCCCACACACA